ATATGCTCTGGTCTGTCTTACGTTGCATTGGTTCAATACTCAGGTCTGTCTTTGGTGGTTATAACATACTCAGAGTCTGTCTTTGGTGGTTATAACATACTCAGGTCTGTCTTTGGTGGTTATAACATACTCAGGTCTGTCTTTGGTGGTTATAACATACTCAGGTCTGTCTTTGGTGGTTATAACATACTCAGGTCTGTCTTTGGTGGTTATAACATACTCAGGTCTGTCTTTGGTGGTTATAACATACTCAGGTCTGTCTTTGGTGGTTATAACATACTCAGGTCTGTCTTTGGTGGTTATAACATACTCAGGTCTGTCTTTGGTGGTTATAACATACTCAGGTCTGTCTTTGGTGGTTATAACATACTCAGGTCTGTCTTTGGTGGTTATAACATACTCAGGTCTGTCTTTGGTGGTTATAACATACTCAGGTCTGTCTTTGGTGGTTATAACATACTCAGGTCTGTCTTTGGTGGTTATAACATACTCAGGTCTGTCTTTGGTGGTTATAACATACTCAGGTCTGTCTTTGGTGGTTATAACATACTCAGGTCTGTCTTTGGTGGTTATAACATACTCAGGTCTGTCTTTGGTGGTTATAACATACTCAGGTCTGTCTTTGGTGGTTATAACATACTCAGGTCTGTCTTTGGTGGTTATAACATACTCAGGTCTGTCTTTGGTGGTTATAACATACTCAGGTCTGTCTTTGGTGGTTATAACATACTCAGGTCTGTCTTTGGTGGTTATAACATACTCAGGTCTGTCTTTGGTGGTTATAACATACTCAGGTCTGTCTTTGGTGGTTATAACATACTCAGGTCTGTCTTTGGTGGTTATAACATACTCAGGTCTGTCTTTGGTGGTTATAACATACTCAGGTCTGTCTTTGGTGGTTATAACATACTCAGGTCTGTCTTTGGTGGTTATAACATACTCAGGTCTGTCTTTGGTGGTTATAACATACTCAGGTCTGTCTTTGGTGGTTATAACATACTCAGGTCTGTCTTTGGTGGTTATAACATACTCAGGTCTGTCTTTGGTGGTTATAACATACTCAGGTCTGTCTTTGGTGGTTATAACATACTCAGGTCTGTCTTTGGTGGTTATAACATACTCAGGTCTGTCTTTGGTGGTTATAACATACTCAGGTCTGTCTTTGGTGGTTATAACATACTCAGGTCTGTCTTTGGTGGTTATAACATACTCAGGTCTGTCTTTGGTGGTTATAACATACTCAGGTCTGTCTTTGGTGGTTATAACATACTCAGGTCTGTCTTTGGTGGTTATAACATACTCAGGTCTGTCTTTGGTGGTTATAACATACTCAGGTCTGTCTTTGGTGGTTATAACATACTCAGGTCTGTCTTTGGTGGTTATAACATACTCAGGTCTGTCTTTGGTGGTTATAACATACTCAGGTCTGTCTTTGGTGGTTATAACATACTCAGGTCTGTCTTTGGTGGTTATAACATACTCAGGTCTGTCTTTGGTGGTTATAACATACTCAGGTCTGTCTTTGGTGGTTATAACATACTCAGGTCTGTCTTTGGTGGTTATAACATACTCAGGTCTGTCTTTGGTGGTTATAACATACTCAGGTCTGTCTTTGGTGGTTATAACATACTCAGGTCTGTCTTTGGTGGTTATAACATACTCAGGTCTGTCTTTGGTGGTTATAACATACTCAGGTCTGTCTTTGGTGGTTATAACATACTCAGGTCTGTCTTTGGTGGTTATAACATACTCAGGTCTGTCTTTGGTGGTTATAACATACTCAGGTCTGTCTTTGGTGGTTATAACATACTCAGGTCTGTCTTTGGTGGTTATAACATACTCAGGTCTGTCTTTGGTGGTTATAACATACTCAGGTCTGTCTTTGGTGGTTATAACATACTCAGGTCTGTCTTTGGTGGTTATAACATACTCAGGTCTGTCTTTGGTGGTTATAACATACTCAGGTCTGTCTTTGGTGGTTATAACATACTCAGGTCTGTCTTTGGTGGTTATAACATACTCAGGTCTGTCTTTGGTGGTTATAACATACTCAGGTCTGTCTTTGGTGGTTATAACATACTCAGGTCTGTCTTTGGTGGTTATAACATACTCAGGTCTGTCTTTGGTGGTTATAACATACTCAGGTCTGTCTTTGGTGGTTATAACATACTCAGGTCTGTCTTTGGTGGTTATAACATACTCAGGTCTGTCTTTGGTGGTTATAACATACTCAGGTCTGTCTTTGGTGGTTATAACATACTCAGGTCTGTCTTTGGTGGTTATAACATACTCAGGTCTGTCTTTGGTGGTTATAACATACTCAGGTCTGTCTTTGGTGGTTATAACATACTCAGGTCTGTCTTTGGTGGTTATAACATACTCAGGTCTGTCTTTGGTGGTTATAACATACTCAGGTCTGTCTTTGGTGGTTATAACATACTCAGGTCTGTCTTTGGTGGTTATAACATACTCAGGTCTGTCTTTGGTGGTTATAACATACTCAGGTCTGTCTTTGGTGGTTATAACATACTCAGGTCTGTCTTTGGTGGTTATAACATACTCAGGTCTGTCTTTGGTGGTTATAACATACTCAGGTCTGTCTTTGGTGGTTATAACATACTCAGGTCTGTCTTTGGTGGTTATAACATACTCAGGTCTGTCTTTGGTGGTTATAACATACTCAGGTCTGTCTTTGGTGGTTATAACATACTCAGGTCTGTCTTTGGTGGTTATAACATACTCAGGTCTGTCTTTGGTGGTTATAACATACTCAGGTCTGTCTTTGGTGGTTATAACATACTCAGGTCTGTCTTTGGTGGTTATAACATACTCAGGTCTGTCTTTGGTGGCTATAACATACTCAGGTCTGTCTTTGGTGGCTATAACATACTCAGGTCTGTCTTTGGTGGTTATAACATACTCAGAGTCTCTTTGGTCTGTCCTATGTGGTCCATTGTTATGGTCTGATGTACTGTGATTCCATAAGAGGTCTGCTGGCAGAAGTCCATTAATCTTGTCCGTTGAGGTATTGATGTTTTGAGGTTGGTGATGATTTCGTGATCTTGTCAGTCGTATATCCATATCCTTTATAACCTGTAATAGTCCCAATAATTACGAAATTTTATTATCCGTTATTTGCAGCCATCAAGCTTTCAGTGGAGTCCTGTGCTCCGGCCCGTCTTACGTTGTGGTTCCATCTTCTAAGTTCTCAAGCAATGGTTGCTTTCCATTTGCTCTGTCGAGTAATGTGGATCCAACCTCTATTGTCTTCCATGTTATCAGTAGTCGCCAACAACACCTCTGCATCCAATCATTACCCGCCGCCCCCTATAAAAACGATACCTTTTGTCATCAGGCCTGTTCAATACAAAGCACTTTTGCTTGTAATAACAGTAAATCTGTTGTAGCAGAAGGGCAGGCAATGGTCAGAAATAAGAAACAAAGTCGGCCTATCCAAACACTATACCTTTCCGGTCAATCAAATTATAAACGCTGTTGATCTATCAAGTACATTTGCCCCACAATTCAACCTTTTTTTTTTACATGTTTTCAAACAAGGTAAACCCAAACAAATCACACACCCATGATTTTGGATGACTTTCCTGAAGGAAACAATGCAAAGCCAGAGAAAAACAAAGTTTGAAAGACTCGATCAAAAGATCAACATTGTCCATTTGTTCGATTGCAAGAGTGAACCACAGCTGGGGGTGGAGAGGAATACAAAATCACGCCCCAATGAACCACAGCTTGGGTTGAAGTGGTATACAAAATCACGTCCCAATGGTTTCACATTTCAAAGCATACCATCCGAGATTATCTAATGTCAAGGTCACATTTCTGGTTTTGTCAACATGTCAATCTGAATGTTATGATGACTTTTTGTCCAGATTATTCTAAATGCCCGAAATGTCAACACACTTATGTGGGAAGAATATTGATGATCAAAGTTATTATCCGAATCTCTTTTGATTGTTGAGTTCAGATTGGTTCAGAGAGAGAAATTTTAATAGCATCAAAAGAAGGAAACAAAGTTTTATTAAAGAGAAACAAAGACATTGATTTAAAACAAAATGATTTAATGTATATATATAGAATATGTATAGGTCTTATTTAACATGTATAACAATAAATAGTGTACTCAAATTTTTGAAATACGAGGCACTTCTAAAATTTAGGAAAACGAATCTGTTCCTAATTCTAGAGATCCTACTGACACATGTAAAATGCCAACTACATCTATCTTAATACTGATGAATAAATAGCAAGTTTCCTCCAAAATACTCTTTGAGTTAAACTATAATCTCTAGAGGTGAGTAATACTGTAGAAATACTATCTTATCTCAAAATGAGAGTGTGGGGACAGATTAATTAACCCAAGCCTTGTTTCTGTATACCTCTTATTATTGCTAAAAGAATATTTGTTGGAGCAGTAAATTATCTATAAACACTTTCAGTGTTAACAACAGTGCAGTAATTTGACAACAACATGTTAGAAACATGTCGCTTTTTAAAAACATTTGTTTTTGCACCCTGTACATTAGATATACAAATATATTATTACAATGTGTGTAGAAAGTCATGCTGGTATTCCTTTCTGATATATAAACACCTTGGTCATGCTGGTATTCCTTTCTGATATATAAACACCTTGATGAGCTCTTTATCACCAGAAAAAATGTGTTAATAATGATTCTATTGTAAAAAGTGTTAGATTTGATTTTTGAAAAACATATTTAGCTACAGTACATGTAGTCAAATAATTTTTTGCATCATATACAAAACGTAGATATTCATATAAAGAAATTGAATAACATAATGTCCACACAACAATGCTAGCATACACAACTTTGTGTATTTATCTGCAAATAAGCCCATTGTCCTGTAATAAGCCCATTGTCCTGTGATAAGCCCATCCATATATATCACAGTTCAGTAGAAATGCCAACAGATGCTGTCTCATTGTCCTGTGATAAGCCCAACCCCCTACTTTGAGTAGAAATTACGTGTTGTCCTCCTGGGCTTCTTTTAGGATAAATATGGTAAGCAAAGTATAAAATGTCTTACGTATCACAGATGTTGATCAATACCAATCTAAAGAAGGGGCAATCAAAACTAATAATTAGGCCATTCAATGTCCAATACTGATATCACAGAGCACACAGAACAGTTAATACAGGCACCTACCATGGACCAATATTAAACTGATCACATTTTAAAGATATCTTACGGATCAATTGATACAAATTGTTATATTTGTATTTTATAATAATGTTTTGACTTGATCTAATCCATAGTAATAACAATTACAAGATGAGACTTACATAAGCAAGCACTATTAAACACTCACTCACAATGAAATCAAACTGATAAGAAAAAGTTACTTTGTCAAAATATTATCACAGATCTGCACAAACTGGGTCTCAAAATAATATCACAGATCTGCACAAACTCAGGGTCTCATTTGAACGAAAGTCATGTGAATTGATAAATAAAAAAGTATATAACTATAAATTTTTAAAAAGCAAGTTTGTAAAAAATAACAATCAACATCTTCTTTGTAGAAGAAATATAAAATATACTTTTATAACCGTTCAGGTCTGATATTGATAGAACCTTTTCATTTTTTTTGGAACATAATTTTTCATCAAATAATCATTCCCGTTTGAAATTACTGAAGTATACTTTGGAATATTTCAATGAATATCTTCAGTCTGGGTTTGTCAATCTTGACATTTTCATCCCGAGAGCCTTTCATGATTTGGGTAAATAACCAGATTACGGAACAATCTTTTCAAACTATTCAAACATAATTCTATTTTTTCTAAAAAAGCGCATCCTTTATTTCAATAATGGAATTAACCTTTTCATACATTTGAAGGCAGTTTTAAAGCGATCATTCATTTAGAGGAAATAAATAAATCCCTTTAAGAATTCTTCACCAGTACATGTTACTAATTAATGGTGTTGACAAAGATTCATTTTCCATATCCCGGGTATTATAAAAAATAAAAATAAAAAAAATGCATCAGATAAAAAATTTGAAGACATAATCATAAACTTAATGAACTGATTTTTTTTTTCAATAAAGTTGACTTTACTTTTATCATAAAGGATAAAAAGAAATCTGCTTTTCACTTTCTCAGCAAATTATTCATGAACGTTCTCTCAGCAAAATGTGTATGGAGGGTGTAAATTATGAATACAAGTCCTAGAGTTTCTAAAGTTACTGAGCAGGAGCCTCTTTAGAACTCTCCTGTGTGGGAGGTTGGATAGGTTGAACACGGATACGTGGGTCGACATAAGATGAGCGTGTTGTGGTCTCCCAGCTATTGTAGACAGCTTTAGAAGAGTTACTATCAATTTCTGGCTGGTGTCCAGGGAAAGCATGGCTGTGACGGGCTGAAAAAAGGATTATCATTATTATAGTTTATGTATTCTTATACAGTAAAACCCTGTTGTAATGCCACCCGTTAAGCCACCAAACCCGCATACCGCCATTAATTTACTCGGAACGAATTTCCCCAGCGTTAATGCACCCATTGTAGCGCCAAAAACGCATACCGCGAAGATTTTTTTGTTATTCTGAACTAAACATTTTTTTTTTTAAAGTACAAGTTGGATTGGTGTATGAACACTTGGGTTTAAAACTGTAAACCTGGTATATCACCAAACTAGTTATACCGCCAAAATCACAGATGACAGAAGGTGGCGGTATAACAAGGTTTTACTGTACATATTATATAAATCCTGTTACACTGCAGAACATCAAGGAGAAGGCTAATATGCGTGACCTTCGTCAGACCTAGGTTAGAATACTGTAGCTCCCTCAGGAGTCTTCATGCTCAAAACAACATAAAAACAGAAGAATCAGTGCAAAGGTAGGCAGCAAGATATGTAACCAACACACCACACCGACGATACAGTATTAACAGTGTTACAAGTCTTCTATACAGAGAGCCTGGGAATCACTGGACGAATGACAGAATAACCAACACACAACACCACACAGACGAGACAGTATTAACAGTGTAACGAGCCTTCTATACAGAGAGCCTGGGAATCACTGGACGAACGACAGAATAACCAACACACAACACCGACGAGACAGTATTATCAGAGTTACAAGCCTTCTATACAGAGAGCCCGGGAATCACTGGACGAATGACAGAATAACCAACACACAACCCCACACAGACGAGACAGTATTAACAGTGTAACGAGCCTTCTATACAGAGAGCCTGGGAATCCCTGGACGAACGACAGAATAACCAACACACAACCCCGACGAGACAGTATTATCAGAGTTACAAGCCTTCTAAACAGAGAGCCTGGGAATCACTGGACAAAAGACGGAATAACCAACACACAACACCACACACACGAGACAGTATTATCAGTGTTACAAGCCTTCTATACAGAGAGCCCGGGAATCACTGGACGAATGACAGAATAACCAACACACCACACCACACAGACGAGACAGTATTATCAGAGTTACAAGCCTTCTATACAGAGAGCCTGGGAATCACTATACGAACGACGTAATAACCAACACTCCACACTGACGAGACAGTATTATCAGTGTTAGGAGCCTTCTATACAGAGAGCCTTGGAATGACTGGACAAACAACAGAATAATCAACACACCACACCGACGAGACAGTATTATCAGAGTTACAAGCCTTCTATACAGAGAGCCTAGGAATCACTGGACGAATGACGGAATAACCAACACACAACACCACACAGACGAGACAGTATTATCATAATTACGAGCCTTATATACAGAAAGCCTTGTAATCACTGGACGAACGACGAAATTACCAACACACAACACTGACGAGACAGTATTATCAGAGTTACAAGCCTTCTAAACAGAGAGCCTGGGAATCACTGGACAAAAGACGGAATAACCAACATACCACACCACACAGACGAGACAGCATTATCAGTGTTACAAGCCTTCTATAACGAGCCTTATATACAGAAAGCCTTGTAATCCCTGGACGAACGACGAAATTACCAACACACAACACTGACGGGACAGTATTATCAGAGTTACAAGCCTTCCATACAGAGAGCCTGGGAATCACTGGACGAACGAGCGAATAACCAACACACCTAACCACCCAGACGAGACAGTATTATCAGTGTTACAAGCATTCTATACAGAGAGCCTGGGAATTACAGAGAGCCTGGGAATCACTGGACAAACGACGGAATACCCAACACACAACACCACACACACGAGACAGGATTATCAGTGTTACAAGCCTTCTATAACGAGCCTTATATACAGAAAGCCTTGTAATCACTGGCCGAACGACGAAATTACCAACCCACACCACTGACGAGACAGTATTATCAGTGTTAGGAGCCTTCTATACAGAGAGCCTTGGAATGACTGGACAAACAACAGAATAATCAACACACCACACCGACGAGGCAGTATTATCAGAGTTACAAGCCTTCCATACAGAGAGCCTGGGAATCACTGGACGAACGAGCGAATAACCAACACACCTAACCACCCAGACGAGACAGTATTATCAGAGGTACAAGCCTTCTATACAGAGAGCCCGGGAATCACTGGACGAATGACATAATAACCAACACACCACACCACACACACGAGACAGTATTATCAGAGTTACAACCCTTCTATACAGAGAGCCTGGGAATCACGGGACAAAAGACGGAATAACCAACACACAACACCACACACCTATACGAACGACGTAATAACCAACACACCACACTCACGAGACAGTATTATCAGTGTTTCAAGCCTTCTAAACAGAGAGCCTGGGAATCACTGGAAAAATGACAGAATAACCAACACACCACACTCACGAGACAGTATTATCAGTGTTACAAGCCTTCAATACAGAGAGCCTGGGAATCACTGGACAAACGACGGAATACCCAACACACAACACCACACAGACGTGACAGTATTATCATAATTACGAGCCTTATATACAGAAAGCCTTGTAAGCACTGGACGAACGACGAAATTACCAACACACAACACTGACGGGACAGTATTATCAGAGTTACAAGCATTCTATACAGAGAGCCTGGGAATCACTGGACAAACGACGGAATACCCAACACACAACACCACACAGACGTGACAGTATTATCATAATTACGAGCCTTATATACAGAAAGCCTTGTAATCACTGTACGAACGACGAAATTACTAACACACAAAACTGACGAGACAGTATTATCAGTTTTACAAGCCTTCTATACAGAGAGGACGAATGACAGAATAACCAACACACAACACCACACAGACGTGACAGTATTATCATAATTACGAGCCTTATATACAGAAAGCCTTTTAATCACTGGACGAACGACGAAATTACCAACACACAACACTGACGGGACAGTATTATCAGAGTTACAAGCCTTCCATACAGAGAGCCTGGGAATCACTGGACAAAAGACGGAATAACCAACACACAACACCACACACACGAGACAGTATTATCAGTGTTACAAGCCTTCTATACAGAGAGCCTGGGAATCACTGGACGAATGACAGAATAACCAACACACCACACCACACAGACGAGACAGCATTATCAGTGTTACAAGCCTTCTATACAGAGAGCCTGGGAATCACTGGACGAATGACAGAATAACTAACACACCACACTGACGAGACAGTATTATCAGAGTTACAAGCCTTCTATACAGAGAGCCTGGGAATCACTGGACGAATGACGGAATAACCAACACACCACACTGACGAGACAGTATTATCAGTGTTACAAGCCTTCTATACAGAGAGCCTGGGAATCACTGGACGAATGACGGAATAACCAACACACCACACTGACGAGACAGTATTATCAGTGTTACAAGCCTTCTATACAGAGAGCCTGGGAATCACTGGACGAACGACGGAATAACCAACACACCACACTCACGAGACAGTATTATCAGTGTTACAAGCCTTCTATACAGAGAGCCTGGGAATCACTGGACGAACGACGGAATAACCAACACACAACACTAACGAGACAGTATTATCAGTGTTACAAGCCTTCTATACAGAGAGCCTGGGAATCACTGGACGAACGACGGAATAACCAACACACCACACTGACGAGACAGTATTATCAGTGTTACAAGCCTTCTATACAGAGAGCCTGGGAATCACTGGACGAACGACGGAATAACCAACACACCACACTCACGAGACAGTATTATCAGTGTTACAAGCCTTCTATACAGAGAGCCTGGGAATCACTGGACGAACGACGGAATAACCAACACACCACACTCACGAGACAGTATTATCAGTGTTACAAGCCTTCTATACAGAGAGCCTGGGAATCACTGGACGAACGACGGAATAACCAACACACCACACTCACGAGACAGTATTATCAGTGTTACAAGCCTTCTATACAGAGAGCCTGGGAATCACTGGACGAACGACGGAATAACCAACACACCACACTCACGAGACAGTATTATCAGTGTTACAAGCCTTCTATACAGAGAGCCTGGGAATCACTGGACGAACGACGGAATAACCAACACACCACACTCACGAGACAGTATTATCAGAGTTACAAGCCTTCTATACAGAGAGCCTGGGAATCACTGGACGAACGACGGAATAACCAACACACCACACTGACGAGACAGTATTATCAGTGTTACAAGCCTTCTATACAGAGAGCCTGGGAATCACTGGACGAACGACGGAATAACCAACACACCACACTGACGAGACAGTATTATCAGAGTTACAAGCCTTCTATACAGAGAGCCTGGGAATCACTGGACGAACGACGGAATAACCAACACACCACACTGACGAGACAGTATTATCAGAGTTACAAGCCTTCTATACAGAGAGCCTGGGAATCACTGGACGAACGACGGAATAACCAACACACCACACTGACGAGACAGTATTATCAGTGTTACAAGCCTTCTATACAGAGAGCCTGGGAATCACTGGACGAACGACGGAATAACCAACACACCACACTCACGAGACAGTATTATCAGTGTTACAAGCCTTCTATACAGAGAGCCTGGGAATCACTGGACGAACGACGGAATAACCAACACACCACACTCACGAGACAGTATTATCAGTGTTACAAGCCTTCTATACAGAGAGCCTGGGAATCACTGGACGAACGACGGAATAACCAACACACCACACTCACGAGACAGTATTATCAGTGTTACAAGCCTTCTATACAGAGAGCCTGGGAATCACTGGACGAACGACGGAATAACCAACACACCACACTCACGAGACAGTATTATCAGTGTTACAAGCCTTCTATACAGAGAGCCTGGGAATCACTGGACGAACGACGGAATAACCAACACACCACACTGACGAGACAGTATTATCAGAGTTACAAGCCTCCTATACAGAGAGCCTGGGAATCACTGGACGAACGACGGAATAACCAACACACAACACCACACCGACGAAACAGTATTATCAGAGTTACAAGCCTTCTATACAGAGAGCCTGGGAATCACTTGACAAACGACGGAATAATCAACACACCACACCACACCGAAGAGACAATATTATCAGTGTTAGGAGCCTTCTATACAGAGAGCCTGGGAATCACTGGACGAATGCAAAATAACCAACACACAACACCACACAGACGAGACAGTATTATCAGTGTTAGGAGTCTTCTATACAGAGAGCCTGGGAATCACTGGACGAATGACGGAATAACCAACACACAACACCACACAGACGAGACAGTATTATCAGAATTACGAGCCTTCTATACAGAAAGCCTTGGAATCACCGGACGAACGACGGAATAACCAACACACCACACCAACGAGACAATATTATCAGGGTTAAGAGCCTTCTATACAGAGAGCCTGGGATAGGAATCATTAGACGAACGATTGAATAACCAACACACCACACCGAGGAGACAACATTAACAGGGTTACGAGCCTTTTATACAGAGAGCCTGGGAATCACTGGACGAAGGATTGAATAACCAACACACCACACCGACGAGACAGTATTATCAGGGTTACGAGCCTTCTATACAGAGAGCCTTGGAATCACTGGACGAACGACGGAATAAGAGCAGCTTCGTACTTCTATATAAACAAAGTCTGACCATCCAACCCCAATCGTAAGGGTCAGTCCCAGCTCCCTGATGCCATACCAAACAGATGTAGGTAGACACTGGGTACATAATTTTAAAAAATGAACTTTTTTGACACTGTCATTATTTTATAAATGTGCAATCAGTGTGATATCCAAAAGGACGTTGCTGATTAAAGACCAGAACACATATTTTTCCCATTCTACAATCCTCACTCTGAGAACTTTTGACAGTAACTTACCTTTTAAATGTTTTAGTTCCTCTGGTACTTTGTAAGGTTGTCTGTTGTAGTTGGTACCATACGTTGGCTCAAAGTAGTGGTTATACTGAAAATAAAAAAATACCAGGGTTGCATGTGTAACTAGAACCAAAAATTTGTTTCAATTTAATTTAATTTAATTTAATATGAATGAATAAAGGCTTAAACCATCTAGGTCCATACCAACACATAATATGTAGGAATGTCAATAACAGCATTATAAAATGGTTCCTATCAAACTCCCTATATAATCAACATGTACAGGTCCTCCCTATATAATCAACATGTACAGGTCGATTGTTCCACACTTTTATTACTCTAATTTAGTCTAAATGTGAATAGAGTTTGTGATACATTGTTTTTTGTAGATTTTGTTTTTTTGGCCTTGTGTTCTCTCATATATTATAATTGGTTAATAGATTGGACGCGACTCTTTCATCAAATAGATTCTTAATTATTTTAAAAACTGTTATTTCTTTCAATGATGGGAGTTGTAGTACTTTCAGGCGTTCGGTCGATCCTGATACAAGTTTGGTAGCTCTCCACTGAACACTCTCTATTAGTTGTGCGCTTGCCACATTTTCCAAATGTAGTTTTATTTTAATAATGCCTTGTACAAATGTTATAAACATGGATTCGTCTATATATCTGAAGGATGCCAAGGACTGAATTGGCTTATTAACAGAATTTTGCATGTGTTCTAAAGTCTTTCTAATAATTAGGAGAAAACAAAGTAACCATTGATAAAGTGATCAAAGAAAAGGATTTGGGAGTGGTATTTGACAATAAACTAAAATTTAGTGATCATGTAAACGAATGTTTCTCCAAAGCCAACAGAATCCTCGGACTGATATTTCGAATCTTCACATTTATAAATAAAGACATGTTTATCCAATTGTTTAAAAGTCTGGTGCGGCCACACTTGGAATACGCCACTTGCCAATGCTTAAGAAAGATCAAATTGCCATTGAAAATGTTCATCGCAGGGCAACAAGACCCCTACCATTCTTAAAAGGACAATCCTATAGTGATAGGCCTCGTACAATGGGTCTCCCCAGTTTAGAATATAGAAGAATGAGAGGAGATGTCGTACAACTCTACAAAATCATAAATGACATTGACGTTTTGGACAAAGCTAAAATGATTAAAATGGCTACATTGGTACAACAAGAGGAAATTCCAAAACTTTTCAAGAGAAGAATGAGGCTCAACGTAACCAAGAACCTGTACAGTAGTAGGGTCGTGGACGTGTGGAACTCTCCCATATAAAGTTGTAGAGGTCACTCCCTGAACAGTTTTAAACCCAGGCGAAATTTGTCCTTACATGCTACTCACAACCAGACACAAATATAGAACAGTATCAAGATGCGTCTCAAGAAGATGGACCAGCTAATACATCGACGTTGACACTACATGAAAACTAATATCATCCACCGTTACACCTAAACTTTTTTCACTGGTATTAGTGTAATTCCTGTAGGAACTCTATCTAAATCAGAGATTTATAACGATAGATATAAATCTCTGATTTAGATAGAGTTCCTACAGGAATTAGTAATAGTGGTAAAGCTGTAATTCTAGGGTAGCTTTCTCGCTATATTCTGTCCCATGAGTTGATAGTTTCAGTCATCACAGATTGTTTCTTGGTAAATGGAGTACTTTATGTTTATTTGAGTGGAATTTTAATAACCATGTAGTCGAATCATACCACTTTCGGAGTTATATATGAATTATATGATCTGATGACTAATTGTAGAATTTCTGGTTGTCAGCAATAATTAATCTAAAACAACAAAAACGTTGTTGATGTTTTTCCTTTCAGGACAAACAATGCCACAGGATACTTTGAAAGGTGTCTGTAATGAAATGTTCAAGTTCTTAATCGGGGCTGTCTGAACGACGGNGGGGGGGGGGGGGGGGGGGGGGGGGGGGGGGTATTTTAATTCCCTCGGGTAGCGAAACGCGGAGTAAATCCGTATTTATATATTTAAGTTTACCTGAGATGGCAGTGGTTTCGCCTCTTTTAATTTTTCTACGTCGAACCTTTGCTCATTCCAGTTTCCTACAAGTGTGCTGTTTGCAAACGAGTTTTCCTTATTCGTGCATCGCCAACCAAACTGATCAAACTTTTCAATATCGTGAGTGTGTGTCCAGACTTCTCCCAGTCCACTCGCTCTGACCATCGCACGGAATGGAGGTTCTTGTTCCATTGCAATCGTAGTTTTATCTATGAGTCTTCAAATAATCAAAAAGTTTACAAACACTGTAACAGTAAACACGCGAAACGTGAAAACACAAGGGTTCCGGATATCATGTGACGAAGCGTGATTTGTTGCCGTAGTGATAGAGGTCATCACCTTTGCATTTCGGAACAGCTTGGATGAGATCCCTTAATAAAGATGTATTCCGAAAAGCTCGTCTTGATTTTTTCCCTATTTCAGAAAATCTACTTTCTAGTGTCAATCTTTCAAGTGTAGACCCAGGTTATCGCTCAAAGGCATGGAATTATTACTTGTATACCAAAGGCAGATAACCCCAGACATTTTATTAGAAATTGGAGGCCTATATCATTGTTAAATATTGTTTACAAAATCGCATCAGGTACTATAGCTTATAGGATTAGAATTGTTTTGGACAAGTTAATAGATATAGGGATCAAACTGGTTTTCTTTCAGGGTGGTATATATACATGTAGGTGTAAACACAAGGCCCATATATGGTGTAATGCAATATAATGAAGAAAAGGATATTCATGGAATGTTGTATTATTGACGGTAGATTTTGAGACAGCTTTTGATTCAGTGTCTTGGGTTTTCATTGATAAAGTCTAAAATTTCTTTGGATTTGGTAAAAGTATTTCATCTTGGGTTAAAAAATTACATAAAAATGCTTATTCAGTCATTAATCAGGGCGGTAATTTGTCGTCTTCTCTTAATATTAAACGAGGTTGTCGTCAAAGGGACCCGATCTCCCCATATTTATTTATACTCTGTTTTGAAATTTGGCCCTCAGATTACGAAATAATGATAACATTCAAAGTATAGAAATTGATAATTGTCCAATATTATTACCCAATATGCAGATGATACCTCACTTATCTTAGATGGATCAGAACAATCTCTAAGAGAAGCAATTGGTGAACTTAATGAGTATGCCAAAATTTCGGAGTTGAAAATTAATGTAAAAAAACCACTAGTAGTTTGGATTGGTAATAATTTTTTTAGTGAAGAAACCTTTTTACCGAATCTACAGCTACAGTGGGGTAGAAGCAAATTTACACTTTTGGGAATTGAGTTTAGTGTAAATCTTCATGAAATTCCAAGGATGAATTCTGACAAAAAATCTAACTAATCTTAAAATCATTACTAAAAACCTGGAGTAGAAGGTCTTTAACACCTATTGGTAGAATTCATATAATTAAATCACTGCTGGTATCACAGTTTAATCACCTTTTTGTTTCATTTCAAAATCCAAATGAAAACTTTCTGAAGGAGTTGAATTCTATCCTGTTTCAATATTTATGGAATGGTGGGTCAGATAAAATCAAGAGAGATGTTATCATTTAAGACTACGTGAATGGAGGACTAAACAGGATTAATATAGATGCTTTCATTCCATACTACCGCGGGTTAGATCGTTATCTAAGTCAGTAATACCACTGAAAACTCATACTGATACTGATTCGCTAGCAAATTGTGGTAGTGAATATGTACAACTATGCAATAATAACTGTAAAAACCAATTATCATTTTTTGTATTTGTTTTATTTTTCAGATTTTTTTTTTATACAATGCAAAGTACATTTGTAATAGCTGAAAATCTCACACACACTAATCTCGCTTCCACTTTCACACACACAATTATCGATTGTCATTTTAATACATTTTTCCAATGTTTACATTTACATTGCATTTGTATAAGGAAAGCAGAAAAAGGAAAGGTTAATAAAAAGAAAAATAGACAGAGGATGAAAAAAAGACAAGGACAA